GTGTGTGTGTGTGTGTGTGTGTGTGTGTTATAAATAGCTCTCAGGCCTCATCAGTGTTGAGTTTCAGGAGCAGCTGCTCACAGACAGAGAGACGGACGTGGACAGATTATTATTGTTGACAACAAATTGTCATTAACAAACTTGAACGTTCATGTTCTGAATTCAAGGCATCAATATGTAACGTGCTGAGCAGCAGCGCCCCCTGCAGACACACGTGGTGACTAACTGTTGGTCTCAGAGATGAAGTGTTTTCATGTAAAAACAAAGTGAATCAATGTGTTGAGCTCCGAACGCTGGATATTACCCATGATCCTCTGCTGAAACAAAGCCACCAAACTCTGTTCCGAGTTCTTCATGTTTTAAAGTTTGCTGCTGAACATTGGAGATAAACTCTGGTTGTTGATAACTGATCTCAGTTCAGTGACAGTTGAAGCTGTGACTCTCAGTCACTTGTTCTCTCAGGAGATGAACCCACTCAGCAGAGTGAGAGAACCGACGCTCAGGGAGCGAAGGAGGAAACGTTCTCCACGCTCACACTCATCAGACTCACTTTGATCAAACTGCTGGTGAATAAAGTTTCACAATGTTGATAACACCTGCTGAGCTTCAAGAGTCGGACGGTGAACCCTGATTCTTCTCCGTCTCTGCTCTCTGTGCTCAGAAACCTCCAAACTCAACTCATGTGGGCAATGATGAACATGTTCGGAGAAGTACACGTTGAAATGTCTGATGACAACATGAATGAATCAGCTGCTCTGTGTCTGTCTGTGCAGGCGAGGATAGCGTTCCTACAGGGGGAGAGGAAAGGTCAGGAGAACCTGAAGAACGACCTGGTTAGAAGAATAAAAATGTTAGAATATGCCCTAAAGCAAGAAAGGTAAGAAAAGACTTCCACCACTGACTATGAATGTGTTGCATCTCATGGCTCTTTTATTTCACAGGATTTAAAATCATGCTGCTGATTATTCTTTAACGTCTTCGCTGTTCATCTGCTTTGTTTCCTCCTCAGAGCAAAATATCACAAGTTAAAATATGGGACAGAGTTAAACCAAGGGGACATGAAGATGCCCAGCTTTGAATCAGGTAAGTGGTCTGTCTGTCCATCTGTCCATCTGTGTTTGTGTCCTGCTTCATCGTCTGTCCTGTGGGTTTTGTCCTTCAGACACCAAAGACTCGGAGGTCTCTGCTGTTCCTGCCAACAGTCAGCTCACCTGGAAACAAGGCCGACAGCTCCTCAGACAGTAAGAACACACAGCAGATTATCTCCTCAGGTTTTTAATACGGTTCATTTCTCCAACAACACAATCAACATGTTACTGACGATGAAAGTGCCTCTTCCTCCCTGGAACTTTTCAAGGTCTTAAGACTCCTGGAATCTTATTGTTGTTCTTCCACCTGCCTCAGTAATCCTGCAAACATTTCATCAACCTGGAGGTTGAGGGCAGGTCTGCAGCTAAACCGCAGAACAAGCAGCCTTACAGCCAGAACACCGAGCCACACGGTGCCGGCATGACCGTCATGACGGCAACCAACCAGTCTCCCACTCAGGACACACAAAATAGCTACTTCTTATGCTATCGTGCTATGCTAGCAGTCCCTACGATGCTAAAGGGAAGAACACAGGAATGAATAAATGTTTCTCCATATCAGCCGCCTGTAGCTCAAGCAAAGTGAAACAACTGAACCTCAATGCATTTCATAGAAACTGAGAGTAAGAGGGAAAGTGCTGTTTGCATTATAAACAATACAATTAGTGTCTGATACATTTCAACCCCCGACAACTTCTTCAGAGTCGAAATGTTTTCTGGGAAAAGGCTCCGGTCAGATCCTGCGGAGCCACACAGCGTTTCCTTCCCCCTTTTTAAACACAAGTATCCCAGCAGCAACGTCAGGAGTCGACGTCGTCTCACGTGTCTCAAACATTTCTCATGATGATTCTGGTGAAATACACAAACGTAATGAGGTCTGATGTGAGTCTGGTTTGTTGGTTTGGGGAAACCTGCTCGTCACGTGAGAGGTTGTGTCAGGGAGCTGCCGTCAGTCTGGACGGAAGCTGTTTAATGATTTGACTTCTTTAAAAGTCTTGTTTTGTGACTGTGTGTGTTCAGGTACCTGCAGGAAGTCGGATACACAGACACCATCCTGGACGTTCGTACACAGAGGGTTCGCTCTCTGCTCGGCCTGTCGGGCTCCGAGCAGAACGGATCTGTGGAGAACAAGAACCTGCAGCACCTGATCAACGGGACGGAGCGCCGCAGGGACAGCAAGAGGTACACACACACACACACACACACACACACACACACACACACAGCGAGTGGGGTCACACAGACTGTTTTTTGTGTCCAGGAGTCCAAGTGACGTTCTGGAGACGTTTAACTTCCTGGAGAACGCAGAGGACAGCGATGAGGATGAAGATGAGGAGGGAGACCTGATGGACGACATCAGTCCAGGCAAACACCATCGAGCCAAGAAACACAAGACCAAGGCACGTGCACACACACACACAGACACACACACACACAGACACACACACRCACACACACACACACACACACACACACACAGACACCACCTAACTCAGTTCAATGCACCTTGTCTCCTTTTGATTCCTTAGTTTTCTTCCTTCCTGTCTTCTGTCTGTCTCCTTGCCAGCCGTCCCTCTCTCTCCTCTACTCCTTCTTTCCTTCATGTGTACTTCCTTGTCCCCTTCAAAGTTCTTTTCTCTTCTGATTGTCTCGCTCTGCTCCTCCAGGTCGGGAACGAGGGCCTGGCGTCGGAGGATGACGCAGACACAGAGGAGGCGCTGAAGGAGTTTGACTTCCTGGTGACAGCAGAGGACGGAGAGGGAGCAGGCGAGGCTCGGAGCTCTGGAGATGGAACAGAGTGGTGTGAGTGAGACGGATAAAACACACACTCACCTCATGTTCACAAATCTGACCCACTTTGAAGTGACACCATCACCACTGTGAAACACACCGAGCATGTGATGTGATGTTCTGCCACCAGGGGTCCTCCAGGAAAACAATGAGAAACATGGAGGCGCTTGGGCTGATGGGAGTTTACCGGCTTCATTATGAGTTTGTTGTTGTGGTGCAGCAGTGTGGCATCATGGGAGTTGTAGTCTTCTCCTGGTTAGGCTTCAGGCGTCTCCTCCTTGGATCTCGATCTGTTACAGTCACTGGTCAGACCTGCTCCCTCTAGTGGAGAACTGTGAAATGTTTTATTAAACTTTCTGTCTCTGCTTCTCTCTGTAGCGGAGCCTCTGCCATTTCCTACTGGTGGGGGCAAGTCCTTCCTGTTGGGGGGGTCGGACGACGTGTTGGAGAGCGTGCTGGGTCTGGGTGACCTCGCTGACCTCACCGTCACAAACGACGAAACAGACTACAGCTACGACGTGAGGACACGGACAAATCCACGACTGCGCAGTATTTAAAAGACCTTTTGTCATGAATCTAATGAATCTTCCGTGTGTTTACTTCAGCTGCCAACCAATAAGGACTCTTCGTTCAGGAAGACGTGGAACCCCAAGTACACGCTGCGGAGCCACTTTGATGGCGTTCGAGCGCTGGCCTTCCACCCTGTGGAGCCCTGCCTGGTCACCGTGTCCGAGGACCACACCCTCAAACTGTGGAACCTCACCAAGACCGTCCCCGCCAAAAAGTACATGAGCTGCACCTCTGAAAACAAACCAGGACATAAGTGACAGTGAGGGTTAAACTTGTGTCGTAGAGGAGCCACAAACATTCATTAACCTCAAACTCAACACGTCCTCTGGAGACACTGTTTGTATTTAGCTTCATTGAGCTTCTCATTCATTTCCTCCACATCCTGCAGCTGCTTCACACAGATTCTGTCAACTTCACAGAAAATCCTCTCTCAGACCTGAGAGTCTCTATTTGCATCTCATTTTTCTGTCTGACGCATTCAGCTTAGTTTCCAATAGCGACCCTGACTGTCGTACACATGATCCTGGGGAAGAACCCCCTCAGGACTCACTGCATCATAACGGAGCTCAGCAGAGACGAGTGCTGATGTTGATGATGTGTTGAATAATACCTCGTTTCCGCTCTTTTCTAGAAGTGCCTCTTTTGACGTGGAGCCTGTCTACACATTCAGAGCCCATGTGTACGTATCTGCACTCACACACAGCTGATGCTTGATGTCTGCCGACCGAACGCCTCTGAACCAGAGACTCAGCGCTGCTGCTCTCGTTTTATTTTGAAAACTGTGGTTTTGTGTTTTAGTCTGAACACAAACTGAGACGTCAGAAAAGATGACGCCCACGTTCTCTTCTGATTGGTTCTCATCAGTCACATGACTCGGTGAACACAAAGCGTCGCTAACACTTCCTGTCAGTGACAGTTCCACCTCGTCGTCGCTCAGAGAAAAGAAATCTCTGCTCCTCCTTCAGAGGAGTTTCTGTTGCTAAGCAACCAACTGCAGACCATCTACTTCCTGTTTACATCACATGACCACTGTAGGTGAACGGTCATGTGACGCGTGGGCAGAGATTGTTACTGATACAGAGACGTTTGCTTGGACAGAGGACGGTTTAGTTTTAAAACGAAGACATGGTTGTGAGGATGTCTCCTCTCTCTCCAGTGGTCCAGTGTTGTCGTTGGCAATGACCTCCAGTGGTGAACAGTGTTTCAGTGGAGGCATCGACTCGACCATCCAGTGGTGGAACATCCCCAGTTCAAACGTTGACCCCTACGACACCTACGGTACACACACACACACACACACACACACACACACACACACACACACACACACACACACACATATACACACACACACACACTCACACTTGGACAGAAAGTAAAAGTAAAATCTTTTCAGTTTTATAAACAGAAAATTCTTTCCTCCTCCTTCTCCTCCTCTTCCTCCTCCTTCTCCTCCTGTCCAATCAGATCCCAGCGTTCTTGCTGGGTCGTGGGAGGGGCACACAGATGCCGTGTGGGGATTGGCTTATAGCGGTATCAAGAACCGCCTCCTGTCCTGCTCGGCAGACGGAACAGTGAAGCTGTGGAATCCGACAGAGAAGAATCCCTGCATCTGCACTTTCAACACAAACAAGGGTGAGAGCACAGAGAGGACAGAGCGCCCCCTGGAGGAGACAGCACAACATAACTGCTTCAGTGAAAACACCCTCCCTTTGTTAACGTGTGTGTGTGTGTCTGCAGAACACGGGATCCCCACGTCAGTGGACTTTAACGGCTGTGACCCCGCCCACATGGTGGCGTCCTTTAACAGTGGAGACGTGGTGGTGTACGACCTGGAGACCTCCCAGCAAGCACTGGTGCTGAAGGGTCAGGGGGACAGCTGTAAGAACACACACACACACACACACACACACACACACACACAGATTCTACAGAAGTGTGTCACTTTTAATCCTTTTCTGTTTTTCTGTTTTTTAAAGCTCTCCCGGGTTCGAATCATATCAACAAGGTGGTGAGTCATCCCACGCTGCCGGCCACCATCACCGCTCACGAAGACCGACACATCAAATTCTACGACAACAAGTCAGGTCAGTCTGCTGAGCCGCTCTCCGCCCTGTGTGATTGTGGACGGTTGTAGTTTTGGGCGATTGGACGAGGATATCGTCTTCATCTGGGGCGACGATGACGTTTAATTTTTCTAACTCAGTCGTGGTTATTTGCAAACAGCAGGAAGTAAGATGTGAAAACCAAAGTGGACGGAGAGAGTCAGGATTTTAAACTGACCACGTGTCAGCACATTATTCAGGACAGATGTCAACACCAGGTCCGAACCACCTTCGAGAACAAGACCTGCTGTATTTTTAGATTTTTATTTTCTATGTTCTATATTTTCGGACACTAGGCTGAATGTATGAACCTGTCTCATCTTCCTGTCGGACCTCCTCTGTCTGTGCAGGTAAAGTGATCCACGCCATGGTGGCTCACCTGGACGCAGTGACCAGTCTGGCGGTGGATCCTAACGGGATCTACCTGATGTCTGGCAGTAAGTTTCTCTCACACACACACACACACACACACACA